GCCAAAAGACTAGTTATTCCCATCTCGTATGAGATTCCCATAGACTAAACCAAATGGGTTCTCATGGTGAGTCAATTCTAGTGATATGTTTTCTAATATAAATCACCTAGGTGCTTGCTTTGGCATCATCATATCAATAGGTCCGAGATCTTCTACTCGTTATCATATAGCATAAATATAGCACTCACAAGTCTAACCGCATAAAGTCAATGTCCATTTTTGAAAATGCTATGACTTGGGACATTTAATGATATCACTTATGTTCATTAGTGTTTGTCTCACATCTTTCGATCAATCACCAATGTAAATGCATATAATAACATCTTTCGATCAATCACTAATGTAAATGCATATCATATGGACTTTTATCTAATTCTATTCAATCAATAAATATAAATGATAAGAATTAATAGAAAGATTTCTTTTGTGATAAATAATGCAATAATAAAATAACTTAAACCCATCTAAATATGATTGGATCTTGAGCACCTACACTAACACTATGTACTTTCCAAAGAGAAAAACTAAGGAAATAACATTAGAATAAGACAATCCCAAGTTTGCTAAATTGTTAAAAGAGACGTGCTATGATTCCAAAATGGAGAAAATAAACAATTTTATTCTTTTCTTGAGAAATGTGTGTTTACTATTAGGGTGGAGTATAATTCTCTACACACCAACCATTAACAACTCTAAAGTCCGAATCATACAATGTGAATAACATTAACAAGATAAATAAAAGTATACTTGGCTCACATGTAAAAAGATATATCATTAGTTTTCTAGTTAAAGGCCGGGTTTGTTTTCAAGGAAACTAAATGACTAGTGTATATAAATTTTCTTGAGTTATCTATATCTCAATTCAGCAAGAAAATTATTAGATAGGTTGACTAGTAGTCATGTCATTCATGAAACAACTAGCAAGATTACTTAAACTAGAATACCAAGTATATGAGCATACCTTATCCTATTTATTAGATAGTTAGGTTGACCAATAATCATGTTATTCATGAAACAACTAGCAAGATTACTTAGACTAGAATACCAAGCCTATGAGCATACCTTATCCTATTTATTAGATAGTTAGGGTAACCAATAATCATATTATTCATGAAACACCTATCAAGAATACTTAAACTAAATTATTGAGCTTATGAGCATCCCTTTTCCTATATTTTGTTCTTTTTTTTCATGAAATGGAAAATGCATTGGATTAATTAACAATTTGGAGATTAACAAAGGGTTACAAGTATAGTAACAATTACAAGGTCAATCATTACAAAGTAACAATAAACAAAGCACCCAACAATGACAAGGGGACCACAAGATGCATACCATAGAAGCAAAGAAAATGTAACAAGCAGGCATGAAACTTGCATACTAAGGAGCTTGTAATCCAGGTGATAGTGATCTCTTGCAACAAGAGGTCACAAATTCAAATCCTAGCGAGACTAGTTTTGCTAGGAGCCTTGGGTGTGTGAATTAAAAAAATACTAACGAGAGGAACTAGTTGTAATCTTTATGTTTAATTACGAGTAAATCCCACACTAGAAGTCCAAAAATACCTTGATCATAACCTAAATTATGGGTCATGATGATGCTTGCCCCATCAATTTACAATGGCACTCTACTAATATTGAAATAAATATACTTGGGTATTGGCTAGTGTGGAGTGCCACCATGATCAGCACCTCAAAATTACCCTTTGCGGTAAAGGACTAGGGAAGGAAGATATAAGCCGGCTAGCCAATTTGACAAGCACCTGGAGGAGGGTGCTTCAAAATTGGAAATCTATCACTATTCTAGCTAGGAAGAAATCCCAATGATCGAACGAGTACATTCTCAACAACCTTATAAAATAATAACAGGAGTGTAAAATAACTACTGCATGCAACAAGATCAATCAGCAACAAAGAGAAGCGAGACAAACTTGTACGCCTTGGTACTATTCCAATCACCATGAAGTCATTTATATAAAATCCAATTTTTTTAAAAAAATGAAAATGAACCGGTCAAAGACCAATGAGCTTCTAGATCAAGTGACAATGGTTTCTTGATAGTTTTCAAGAATTTATGAGTTAAATTCCTAATTTCCTAACAAGTTAGGAACAATTAGCTTGTTCACATACCATGCAAGAGTAGGCTAAAATTAGCTCCTTATTCTAGTTGTGGTGGTCAGATTAATCTCCTGCTAATAGGTATTAAGCTTGATTTCCATTCTCCAAACTACTAATCATATCAGAAAAAAAAAAAACTGTAAAATTCCATTTCAATTACGCACATGTTGACTTGAGGTTTAATCCGAATTTCGAAAGAAAATTCCTTTCATGTTCAGGTCACCTGTGGAGCTTGACCTTTAGAAACTCTAAAATTTATCCAAATTAATATGATTTATCTCCATAGTTTAGAAATGTGATTGTATTCTTATACAAGAATGTATGATTTAGCATTAGATCAACATTTCAAAATTAAGAGAATGCATAAATGTCAAGTGGTAAAATTTTATTAGATTTTAAGTTCGAATTTTGTAATTAATTTTTTTTAGAGGACATATTTATATTTAATCTTCAAATATGCATGTACTTATAAGAGAAGAGGGGTAGTTGCCCCCTTAATGGTTTCAAAAAAAAAAAAACCTTATTAGCTTTATGGCTTCAAATATGACCCCCCAACCGCCTTCCCTCTCCCGGTGAAGACATTTGCCTTCATATTTTGTGAAGCTTGTCTATCCGTCGGTCAAATAATGGATTATGAATTATCATTTAAATGGATTTTTTTTTTGTTTTTAAATTCAATTTAATTTGATAATTTATTTAAATACAATATTACATATTTATGACAATAATACCCACCAAAATTGTGTTTTCATTTCGCTCCCCTTAGTTATGAATAAAAATTAGAAAGGAAAATCTACGTTCTAAATTCTAATTACAATATTATATGAAATTGATAAGCGATAAAAAATCTAAGAAAATAGTAGAAACTAGTACGCTACTCATCGAACATAATATGTCAAATTAGTTAAAAATAATTTTAATTTGGTAGCTTGTATTATATTATAGGTCTACTAAAATATATTGAATTAAAGATAAAGAAAATACATCTAATTTTATAATTTATTTATTTATGTTTTTCCTAAATTTGTAGTTAAAAACATGATTTGTTATTAAATTTTATAAACTTGCAATATTCTAAATAGAATATTTAATCCAAAATTTTAAAAAATACCTTAATATTTTATTTTATTTTTCATAAGATTGCATTGAAAAAGTAATGCAACAACTAATACAAAATTTTGTATAAAAATTAACAAATATTTTTTTCATTCTTATTTAACGTAGATGAGAAGATTTTTTTTATTTAAATATATATATATATATATATATATATATATATATTTATTTATTTATTCATAAAATAATTAATAATATTAGTATAAGAATTATATTTGAATAATTGGATGGTTCTCCTAAAATGTTATTTTAATTATTTTATTTCAAAGAAATTGATTTTAGAATATTAAAAAAAAATTAATAACAATTTTTTTGTGTTATATATGTGGATGTATAGTTAATTTCTAATAAAAATAAATAATCTCATTTTTTTATTTATACATTATTGACTATATTCAGTGAATTCATAGTGTGTACCATCAATAAAAAATATTTAAAAGATAAATAAATTATAAGAATGTATTAAAGTTAATAGACTCAAATAAGAAAAAACAACAAAATTAATTTTGATTAATTTTAATTATATAAAAAAGAAGCAAATAAAACACGTAATCTATTTTTCTAATTGATTTTTTTAGAAGGTTTGAGACAAATTATCTAAAATATACTTTTAATTTTTTAACACTTTTGTTTAAAAGTCGGAAGAATCAATCATATGAAATATATCAATATATTTTTTTTAAAAAAAAAGAAGATAAAATAATGATATTAAAAAATTAATACATAGAAAAAAATAAATCATATTTATCAATAAATAAAATTATATAAAATAATTAAAAAATAATTTCATAAGAATTTCCATAAGAAAACATAAATAAAAAAATTAATTTCAAACGACATGAGTAATATAATTCGATATATATGTTCATTAAAAAAAAGATAAAATAATCATATTCTAAAATTTTATTAAAAAATTCATACATAGAGAAAATTTATTAACAAATAAAATTATATAAAATAATAAAAAATTAATTTCATAAGAATTTCTATAAAAACGAGCAAATAAAAAATCAATTTTAAACAATAACAATAATATAATTCTCGAGATTATATATATATATATATATATAATCAAATAAAAAAATATAATTTTTTTAGATTCTAATCTATCTCTTTCAATTATTTTATGATTTAAAATCACCATAAACATGCTCTATTTATCAAAATAGAAAATATGAATGCAGGGTCGGCCAAAAAGAAAAAAAAATTGAAATTTGAGCCAATCATGGCTTTCTCTCTCCTATTTTTGCATTTAAAGACCAATTGCAATACAGAAAAATTTGGAAATAAAAATATTTTTTTTAAAAAAAAAACAAAGACTAAAGTACAATATTAGAAAGAACATGAATATAAATATCCTAAAAACAACCTAAAAAATATATATGAATATAAATAAACAGTAAATAAATAATATTTTCTACATGGATAAATAATACATGAATAGTAAATATTTTAAATATTTTATTTTTTTAATATATAAAAATTTAAAATCATATTTTGAGTATAGGTAAATGGCATCGTGAATACTAAATACTTAAAATCTTTTAGTGTTTTTTTTTTTAATATATAAAAATGAAAAATCAACGAATCATATAAAAAATTGTGGCTTAATACCACTAAAAAATCACAAACACAAACGACCAAAGCCTCCACTTCTTTCTTCCTAATATCTACATTGTGTGGCAATGCACATCCTTACTCCACTTCTCTCTCTCTCTCACTCCCCTCTCTCTCTTTCCTTCCCATTCCCTCCATCTCCCTCCTTCCATGGCCACAACCACCGCAACTCCCTCCCATCTCTCTACACCCGTTACTCAGAACTACTCCTTCAACTCTCGTCCGCGAACTACCATCTCTTTTTGGCACCGGCCCACTTACCCGCCAGCCTCTGCATTGCCCATAAACTGCCATTTTGTTGCTCCTTCATGGAATACAGTCAAGCTTAACTGTAGAATAGTGTGCAAGGCAACTGAGGTATCGGTGACTGAAGAGTCACCCTCTTCTGGTGGAGAGAATTGGGTTCCGGTGGTGCCACTGGCTGCCCTGCCTAAGGGAGAAAGAAGAGTGATTATTCAAGATGGAGAGAATATACTGTTGTTATGGTATAAAGATCAGGTTTATGCTATTGAGAATCGGTCTCCTGCAGAAGGGGCTTATACAGAAGGTCTGCTTAATGCCAAGCTGACTCAGGTTTGGTATATATACTTCACTTGTTTAAATTTGGTTTAGTTAATAGCACTTATTTTTGTTTAAAAGATGGTAAAAGGAAATGCAGTTTTTGTATCATTATTGTGGGGTTTGAGATTAGATTTTGATGGACTGGTAAATATAATGAATGCTTGAGAAATGGTAGAAAGATTGTAACTTTGGACTACTTTTTGTGTTTTATTATGATTTTCATGGAAGTGGGCTTTCTTTAAATTGGGTTGCCATTTTATCAAGCTCATTAACCAAATATGGTCTCAGCAAAATGGGGGAAGACTGGGGTTGATTGTTAGGTGTTAATGGAAATTATTTTAGAAATTAGGGATTCGAATATTTTGGTTTGAATAATGCCTCTTTACCTTGTATGAATCAAGTAATCTCGAATCCTGGATTTGAGTGTTGAAGGTCAGAGAGATGCTTTTCTTCTCCTCACTGTGCCCTGTTTTGTTTGAAACTAGAAGATAGGCTAAAGCACGATTTCCTCTATGTAGTGGATTCTAGTATCTGAAAGAAGAATATTTGTATGCAAATGGTTAATTGGAACTTCGAAGCACCTATTATGCAGAGAAGAAATAGATAGTGACTATTAGTAGCCATCTGTCGAGCCATGAATCCCAGCACATTGCCTTTGCATGGTGTAGTTGTTTCTCTAAATTCAGTACCATTGCCAAATAGAAGGCCAGTTTCTAAAGTGTAAGTGGATAACAATCGAATTTGCCAACATTAATGACAATGGAAAGAGCGGCTGGAAGAAGCTATTGGTTGCTTTCCTTTAAGCTTCCCAATATCTTACAGCTTTCTTATATTTCAAGTTCTGAATTTCTTGATCTCTAAAATACCAGATTTTGAAAAGGTAAGGAATTGCAAGACATTTAAGACATGATTGAACGAAGTTTAGTTTGGGCCATTTGACTTTGGAGTCATGAACTTTCTAGTTCACTGTACAATGCTCAGCATTTCTTGATTATATTGTGTGATGCCTTAATCTTACAAGAGAGAATCAGTGAAGTTGATACTTGTGTTCAGATGTCTTCCATGCTGACCATTGTGACTGGATCGTTACTTGTAAATGATTGTGTCAGAAACCCAGGATCAGTAGGTTACCAACATTGGTGAGCAAGTCATATTGATCATATAGACATCACATAAATTACAGGCATCAGATGAATTAAATAAAACTTTGTTTTCTCATTTTGTGCATTAAAGAGAAGTTTGAGTCTGTAACTCCTAACTCACAGACAAAAAAGATTAGGTGACCCTAGTTTATTTTAGTAAAAATAACTACTCTGTTTATTGACTGTTTACATCAGGAGTCGCTGCCAGTGTGAAAAAATGTGATTGTCAATACTGACGCTGTGAATCAGTTGGTGCAGAGCCTCTGAATTCTTATAGATTAGTACTCATGGTCTGACAAGTAACACCCTGATAATCATTAGGGGTTCATGAACATATGGTATCATAGTAAATTTCGATTGTCCCTTCTGACTAACAGACTTCAGCAAATATTGGGTTTAGCCATAGTAAGTTCTAATTGGTGCTGTACAATTTTTAACCAGCAGCTCTGTTATTCTAAGAGAACCCAGTTTCCTCCTCCAACAAGATTCTGCAATGAAAAAGTAATATCCATTTAGTTTGTAAGTTTCATTTTTCATTTACCTTATAAGCAGTTGAAAATCGTATATTTCAAATAATTCACACATAGTATGATGGGAGATTTTTGTCCTAGCTACCATTTAGATCTTGGACACAAGTGGAAAATGACTTGCAGAAAAACAAAAGATACAAAATGTCATTTTTCACTGAATTTTTCATTTCAAGCACGTCCGAAAAAACTGAAAATTTCATTTTGTGTTCCAGTTTCCTCTGCTATTATACTTCAAATAGGAACCTTGCACTTGTTTATTTATTGTTGAGTATCTGTTGATTTGAAAATTGAATGAATTGTTTAATGTCCATACTTGTTTGATACTTGTTACATTTTCCTACAACAACAGAAAACAACAAACATGAGAATATTTCTTTTTTTTTCACTTGTCTATAGGATGGTTGTATAGTTTGCCCAACAACTGATAGCACTTTTGATCTTCGGACTGGAGCCATCAAAGAATGGTATCCAAAAAACCCTGTGCTCCGAGCTCTCACACCTGCTCTGAGAACACTTTTTGTGTATCCTGTAAAAACTGATGAAGAAAATATTTACATCAGTATCAAAGGAGATGAAAAATCCGATGCGTCTGCTGAGATCGTCTTCAGTGGGAAGGCTCAACCTGGTGTGACAGCAAGTGATGTCAATGTGGATGAGGTAACTGCACTAGTTTTGTTTTGTCTTAACATAATCATATGGGCTGCTTGAAAATTGAAGAGAATGTACATATACTCCAATTTTGTTTGGTTGAATTGATAAGTTCTCTCCATGCTTCTATATTAGGTGAGAATGGTAATTGATGAGGATCAAGAGGGGTTTGGTTTCAGCAGCAAGAATGAATTGATAAATGGGAAAGCAGCCATAATTGGCTTCTTGGTTTTGATAGATTTTGAACTCTTGACTGGTAAAGGTCTTCTCAAGGGAACAGGATTCTTGGACTTCCTATATTCTGTTACTAATGCTTTCAATTAGACCATTACAATCCTTCTTTCAAATAAAGTCTTTGATCCCTAGGAAGGTGATTTTTTCTGCCTAGTCACAACACATTTTGTTGCATAATCTATTCATACTTCCCAATTTGTTCATCTGCTATTGTATATTGTTGAGAAAATTAGACCGTGTGAACTCATTCTTACCTTTTGATTTCATTTACCTGATCAATCTGTATTAATAGATACTGATGAATCTGAATGACAGTAGCAACGCTGCAACTCAGTGCAGATTGTGAATGCTGTGATTTACAATGACATTTTCATAATTTTTTGTACTTTTTTTGGATATTCATTTTTAAATTTTACACTTCATTTTTTTATGATCTCTTATGTTTTCAAAATATATTTTTAAAAATATTTTGACATCTCATATTTTTAACTTAGTCCATTTTTGTCTCATATTTTTTCAAAATATGTTTTTTGTTCTTCATATTTTTAAAAGATATTTTTGGTCTCTCATATTTTTAAATTTTAGAACAAACACATATATTAGACTATATTTTTTTATTGATTAAAATTAATCTCTTAAATTTGTTGTTTATTATAAAAATTCTCATCAAATTAAATTTTTTTGTTCCTTCTTTTGGCTTAAAAAATAAATTATTTAATTTTTTTAATTAGTGTTCACCATCGATAATTTATTTTTTTATTTTATAAAATATTTTTTTAATATTTTTTTATTCTTTCTCTATTTTTTAGAACAAAAAATAAAAACATTGATATAGCAAAAAGCCCAAAAACATCTTTTAAAAATTAAATAATTTATTTTTGAAACCAAAAGAATTGATTAATTCTTTTTTCAAAATAAGAACTACTTTATAATTTAATTTGTAATTTAAGAATCTCTTTCATCATAAATTAAGAAGTAAAATTTATGAAAACCAATTTCATAATATTTTTTATTTAAATTTATTGACTTTAATATATTTCATACAACTTATATGTTTTTTTTTAAAAAAAAACATATAAGTTGTATGAAATATATTAAAGTCAATATATATATATATATCATTTGTTGTATTGAAAATTATATGTCTACATACATAACATTAATTATTTGTTATTTATTCTTTTTTTTAATGTTCCAAAATCAATATTTTTTAAATAAAATAATTGAAATAATGTTTTGAAAGAACATTTTAATTATTCAAATACAATATTTTATGTTAATATTATTGATTATTTTGTTAATAAATATATATAAATCAAATAATTTTGCTCAGCAACTAAATTTGATTTATATTAATTACGAAAAGTAAGATTTTTACTCATATTATATTAAATAAATCATTAATTTTATATATATAATGATTATCTAATCATAACATAATATGTATATCTAACTAGTAATAATCCTATAAGTAGTATAGTCCGTGCTTTGTTTGACTTGAGTTGTTGGTGGTTTGTAGATGTGGCCTTTTGTGGTTGTTGTCCACTTTATTATATTTAATGAATTCTTTTAGTGCAACATCCGCCATCAGGAGAAGGCTGTTAGGAGGCTTTTAATGGTTGTGCTTTGCCCATTTTCTGCCTTTACCTGCCCCCCCCCCCCCCCCCCCCCCCCCAAGCTTTTATTAATGAATCACAACTCGGTAGCTCTTGTTATTCTTTATTTCTGTGTATAAAGTTATCAAATTTTAACATTTGAATGTATCAATTTTAATTTTTATTATTTTAAGTATATAAATTTGTAAATTTTTTTCTAGTGGTTCTATTAACTATTGTTAACTTTTTGTTGATGTTGTTGTTAAATTCCACTTAGCACCGTCATGTAGGCTTCATTATCAAACATGACAATTATATAAAAAAGAGTTTATTATATATTTGGTGTATAAATTTATTAATTTTTTCTATTTGAGTGTGTAAACTTTAATTTTTATTATTTAAGTATACTAATTTGTAATTTTTCTAATTGAGTGGTTTCTGTTAATTCTATGCTGATTTGTTCGTTAACTATATGTGTAGTATCCTAATGAAAGTCCATTGTTAGATGTATAGCAACTAAAAAACATAAAAAATGAAAAAAAAAAAAAAAACCATTCCATTGTTAGATAAAAGCAAATAAATTCATAATAGTAATAAAAATAAAAGAAATTACTTAAAAATAACCAAATAGAAGAAAAAGATTAAACATTGAAATAAAATTTTTTGATGAGTTCATTTATAAGGGCAACAATACATCACCATTTTCAATAGAAAAGCTAAATTCTAAACACCAAATTTTATAATAAAATTTTCTATAGTCAAATTTTATAATAAAATTTATCCAATCATCAAACTAAACATCGGATTCTTTGCATGATGTAAATTTGACCAATTTATGTTTCCAAATCAAATGGGTCACATGGTGGCAAGGAGCTTTGGTACATGTAGAACTCATTTGTAGCGATGGTTGGAAGTCGGCTGCAACTAAAGCAATAATGGTTTATTGAAAACTACCGACTAAATTATGTTTTTTTTTTCCTCCTATATATTGTCGGTTTGTCTATATGTTTTGATTTTTTATTTTTAAATGGTTTGGTAGTACTTGTTGATTCTAGTATGTGGCAATGGGTTTTGATGTTAGTGGTAATAATAGTTTTTCTAATTATGGCATGTGTAGGTTTATTGTTGGGTGGTTGTGGTAATTATTGTTGGTGGTTCCTAGCTATTGGGTTTGTTTGCAAATTGTGAAATGTGTGGCATGGCAGTTTGCTGGTCTTTTGGAAAGACAAGAAAGCTAAAATTTAAATATTGGCTACGAGATCTTAGAGTGAATGGATCTGTTTGGAAGATGATGAGTTAAACTTGGATTTTGATTTGGAAAGAAAGATGACCTAATTATGAGTTGAGTAACACAGATTTATTAGAGAAGTTTTTTTTTTTTTTTTAACTTTATATATTTATTTTTATTTTTGGATACAAATATTTTTTAAATATATTTTTTAAAATTTTTAATTTGGATCTAATGGCAGCGTGAAGTTTCTAGTTGCCATACATCTAACAATAGGATCTACATGACTATGCAACATAAACGTATCTAGTTAAGATATGCATCAATCTAGAGTTACCGAGAGATACTCAAACAGAAAAAGAAAAAAAATTACAACTTGGCATACTTAAATAGTAATATTAAAGTTTATGCACTCAAATAAAAATAAATGACAAGTTTATAAATCAAATATGTAATAATTTTTTTTTAATTACAAAATGTGTGTGACAATAGGATCTATAATTTGGTGTTACATATGCGAGTTAATAGTCGCATCAATATAGAATTAATAAAAGTTAAAGAAACAACTAAAATAAAAAGAAATTGCAGCTCAATATACTCAAATAGTAAAAATTAAAATTGACACACTCAAATAGAATAAAATTAACAACTTTATACTCCAAATAATAATTAACTCATTCTTTATTCATAGAAAATATTACTTTAGATTGGCTTCCATTCATAATATAAGAAGTCTTTATTTTTCATATCAACAAAATTCTCTCCGACACAAAAGAAGGAAAAAAAAAAGAGGAGTTTTATCCATCTAAGTTCAAAAGTAGTTGTTTCTATTTTTATAGAAGGTTTGATTTAATGTAAACCACGGGTAGTTTGATGAAATTTTTATATGATTTTTTTTTTTTTTGCTAGATTTCTAGGTTTATTTGATATTATATTTAAATTTTCATATGAATCTTTTTTTTTTAATCATAACTATTATAAAAGTACCCACTAAATATTTGATTCGACATAACTATGCTTAAAACTTAAGAAACATCAAATATATGGAAAGAACTTTATTGATAACTATTAAATACATTATCTTATTTTGTAAAATAAAAAATTCACACGCCGAAATGAAAAAAGCTACTACTAAATAAAAAGAAAGGATAAGTAGCTCAATTTATTTTTATATAATAACAAGAGTCTCTAATCTGTTTTTACATTTTTAATTGTATCTATTATGTATCCGAATAATGTTTAAATTTTTAATTTATCATTTTAATTAATTTTTTTGATAATATAACAATTTTTTTAATTATCAAAGTGCTCTTAATTAAAAAAATAAAAAATAATAATAATTCTAATGTCTTTAAAAATAAACTATGTAAGTTATATGACTTTAAATAATAGTTATTATTATTATTATTATATTTGTATATTTTATTTATTTATTTATTTTTGCATTTCATTCTTGAGGATTTTGGTTGCCACAAAAATCACTAGCTTTAGCACCAACTTGCTATAGAAAGGAGAATTTGCTATCACAATGGCCATGAGATCTAACCAACTTATGGAGCTGAATTTTTCCAAGAGAAAACGCCAGTTTCCATTAATCGACTATACTGTTCCGATTCGTAGCGGCTGTGAGAGATTTTATCATTTTAACACGTCCAACTTTCTTTGAATTTCGAAACTTTTTGGGCCCACTTGGCCGGGTTTCATCAATTATACCGAAATCAAATCTCGGTTGGACTTGAGATTAAGCCCAATTAGATATTATAATCATGGAGTTTGGTTTATTCACAAAGAAATAAAGACGTTGCAACATCAATTTTTTTAAAAATTTTAATATATATATATATATATATATATATATATATATATGTGTGTGTGTGTGTGTGTCAAATAAGATTATTTTATAATTTTAAGGGATAGATAGTCGTAAAAAAAAAAAAAAAATCTTGTTATTAAAGTTTTACTTCTTTCATCTCGTTGGAGTTAGAATCCATTTTCGTCCATTTGTACCCACTAAGATGGAGGGCGAACTTCATAGAAAAACTCAGTATCTCCTATATTTTGCCGAGAAAATATTTTCTAGACGATTATAACGAAACCCGGTGTAACCTGGCCAGATGGAGATACTCAAAATTTATATATGTTGCAGGGACACATTAACTAAACCTGTAATTATGAATATAAATAATGGATCTTATACATGCTAGAATATTCCTTAATTTGTAAATATAAATCAACAAAAAATTTGTATCTACGAAAGTAATATATAT